GTAGGAGGGGAAACGAACTAAGAACAGAAGACAGTCAAATAAAGCAAGTTCAGAAAACTGCATTCCAACCGGGGTAAAAATGTGAAAGAAACAGAAAAACGTAAAATACACATATTTTTTCATGACGATTTTTACAAAGTATATAATTAACAGATTTGTAAGGTATCATTTGTACTTTTCCTAGACATCGAAAATCTTACAAAGAGATTCTCGTAAAGCGTTAATAAGACGAATCTAGCCTAACATAATCTGATGGGAGCATGAAACAGGCATTCCGAGTAAGAACACATACACACATTTCTTTCAGCTTATTTATGCGTTTAACACGTTGCCGACACAATGTCTTGTACTGTATAAAATACCTAAGCAAAGTATCAAAAGAACCAATTCCATCTTAACATAATGGTTTTTGTTATTTTATACAGTTCGTAAGCGTTTAATAGTTACAGTAAGGGATACGGTGCTCAGCCTTTAGCATACATGACAGAAAGTTGGATAAGCCAGTCTATTTAAAGACCGAATTTCAAACACATACAAAAACAGGTTTGGAGAAGAAAAAAACGTAAATTTCGGAATTACATGCAAAGGAATGTGACAGAAGCACCAGATGTCCCGACTAATGAAACAAGAAGTTGTGTTAGCTGACTACATACTTTATCTTAGTAAATAGTGCGAAAAAATTCATGACTACAGTAAAAACAGACAGGAGCATTCACACAGTTAGCAGTTGCTTTGCAGCGCTAAAATTGATACTCAGATACGTTTTCATTTTAGTGGACTCCATTAATTTCAGTAACTTCCATGAGTCATTATGCTGGTCGTAGAATAGCGCATACAATTTTAAGATTGAATCTACCTTTGTCATCAGAACATTTTCTTCCTTCATACAGACGGGAATTCCTTCCAGAACGTCGGAATTATCTTTATAAAGTTACCGGAGTAAATGCATGCATCGACTGTTCTAAGTTTAAAATAATTCGAAATTTTGCCCGGAAAGTTTATTTATGGAACCCGTATAATTCTCATTCAAGATAAACAGCGAATATTTCTCTGAACGGCGATGACCAATTCATCTTTGTATCGGTTACGCGTTGGGTTTCCTCAGAGGCGGGAGCTGAATACCCAAGTAGCAGCATGGGGCCTGCCGTCACTGCAGGGATATTCAACAAATGCTTACATATCTTTTCAATCTTTCTTCCCCGAATAAGTTATCAAAGGCCTGATAATTTGATACGTATCGTTGAGTACGACAGGAAAAATTATTATCCATAAACCCAAGAACATTTGTCTTTACAGTATTACGCCTGATTATCATCTTCAGCTTAACTGAATCCGAAATTTGTTGGATTATGAAACACATCACACAGCGGCGAACTGCAAAAAGTAATTGAATATTCACTCGGTAGTTTATTCTTCAAGAATGTTTCAAGGAGGGTTTATATTTAAAATCTATTAAGGATGATTCTTTACATACGAAATATTGAAATTAAGTATTCTTGTGAATGCAAATGTTATACGATCTTAAACTGAAAATCATGAACAGAACCTCTTAGTAACAATATAAATGAAACCTGTTCTTTTATATAAGAATAACGTTAAACCGGTTAAATGTCTCTAGGTTTCCATTTTAACCTCTAAAGGAACTAATAAATTCCAGAAATTCAAGTAATAATGTTGAGAATCTCTAAACAGGATTACCATGGCAACGGTATAACAGACACACACAGTCCCATAATCATTATCCAATAACGTCATAAACCGCTTAGAAGCGTTACCATGGCAACTATTATAAAAACAGTACACGCAATGTGACGAACATCATTCCAAAGATTACATGCAAATTATTTATTATTATTATTATTTTATTTATGAACTTCGTTCTCGAAGGATCAAATGTAACTGTGAATAAACATCGTTAGAAAAGCGTCACAGGTTACAAGACGCCAGGTACAACTTACCGTGGACGTCTACGCAGCCGACCTGCTTCTTCATGACGTTGGTGTTGATCTGACACATGTAGCAACCCCGGTCAGACTCCTTCACCTGACGGATGTGGAGCTGCCACGTGCGGTGATTGTCGTGCGTCACGCTGATCCGTGAATTGTGCGTCACGACTTTGTTGTGAAGCGTCAAGATCGTCTGGTCCTCCGCCTTCAGCCATCCCACCTGCGAAAGACAAGAATGCATATCACAGACGCTGAATTTATCTGTCGTAGTGTATAGACAGCTAAATAAAAACGCCGGTACAACCTATAATAACATAGAAAATACCCCTGTAATCAATTCATAAAGGGTTTTGTAGTTACCAAAGGATTTCACCAATAAATGAGTAGCTACACAAACTCAACAAACAAATATTTATCCATTAAATTTCGCAGGTTATCAAATAACACGCTCAAGATCGTTAGGATATTAAACTTAAGGATGAGTATAAGAAATAGGGACTCATTATAAACGTCTAAAAATAATACACATTTACACACTGTTAAAGAGATGACGCCCATTATTTTATAAAATGGAGAAGATTACAGATATGCCAAAAATAAACACATCCATGTATAAATTTTAACAAAAACCAGAATACTCAAATAAATCACAAAATTACTCAGACCTCTAAAGCAATAAGTACCTTGATCTGTTTGATGTAATAAAAATGAACCAAAAAGTCGTAAGTAGTTGTGTTAAACGAAAACGTCTATCAAACGGAACTGATTGAAATCCTATATAGAAAGGAAGTCTATATATTACAATTTCAGCGAGTAAACAGACAACCACACTTCACGTAATAACTAAATAAAACATACGACGGTTTGATGGCACTCCACATCATTGTTTCTCGTTGCTTCTATAAAGGTAACTCAGATACAAATTCCTGAAGGAGAGAGACCCTTAATGCTGTTAACGAGACTTCATGTCGGCCATAATCTAATAGCACTGGGTCGGTCACATGAAACTCTCGTTCCTCATCGACGCTAAAAGTCGACGGACAAACATTCAGTTTTTCCTAGAAATCAAGGATAGCTAGTCAGTCAGACGCTCATCCGAACGTGGAGATTACAACGAGTGATTAGCTCGTCTCCGCTGGAATTACCTCTTCCATCACTGCATAAATACAAAGAATGTTCTTTCAACCTCGACAAAAATCTGGACACAGACTAGCAAAACAATGGCAAATAAATACTGTGTCCCCCGAAGAAAGACAAAAAGTGTCCTGCAGATGCTTTATGATACCTAACGAGAGTATAAGTATAAAACCATCGGCACTCGGCTCAAGTCTGTCCCCAAATGCAGAGGTTTAATTTATAGCATTTGTTGGACAAATTTTTTCTGCACCGTGATATGATGAGATTTCAGGTTCTAGTGGTGTCAAGAACGAAGACGACTGTCCTCTGGGATGTCGCGCCGTGTAGTCTCGTAGAAATTTACAGACGTTTCAAAGCTGCCAGCGACCATCGCCAGATAATTCGTAACATCAACGGTGGAAAAAGGTCTTGACATCTTATTATGAAGCGACAGGCGACGTCAGAAGTAAAGGTATTCAAAACTACAGAGAGTCTTTGAATTACGAAAAAAAAGTGAATCGTGTACCAAGGTATCTCTTAACATCCTGTAAGCATATGACAAATTCCTAGCAGTCCACCTTACACCTAGACCTCCAAAATGAAGCCATACTTATCTTGTACATTAACCACTATTTTAGATTAGTGTGTATTGATATAATTTGGCTTAAAACAAAGTTTTTAGTTTCATTTCTAGCCTAAATAAGCAGTTCTGAATTTCATACATCGACTACATTTTCATTTAAAATTTCGTGCAACTGTGTATTATAACAGCGTTAAGATTTTAAGATACAATGCCATTTTCATTCCAAACAAAGTTTAATTAATGGATTTTCCACGTATCATATGATGACGCTTCACGTATACCCCTTGGGGGTACATGTACGAGGCGCGTCCTCAAAGTAAGTTTCCCACTCGTCCCACAGCTAGCAAACCTTATATTGCGCGAAGCGACTGTGCGTACGTGATAGAGCAATCACGTAGCATGGCGCATGCACTAACGGCACCTCCCGCGTTCTCACAGTAGCATCGTTGCAGCTGTTGAAGATGGAGGTTCTTATTCCAGCTCCCGCCGACTGTGAAGTGCGGTCAGTGATAACGCTAGGCCGCACACGGCTCGACGGACAGCAAGTCTCCTGCAGGAGTTCAGCTGGGAGGTGTTTAATCATCCACCCTACAGCCCGGACCTCGCTCCCAGTGATTTCCATCTTTTCCTACACCTCAAGAAATTCCTGTCCGGTCAGCGTCAGCGTCAGCGTTTTGAGAATGACAGAGAGGCGGAGATGGCTGTCACACAGTGGTTCCAATCCCAGGCGGCAGACTTCTACGACACAGGTATTAAAAGTTCGATTAAAACCGCTAGCTTAGACAGTACATCAACCATTATCTCAATATGGTTCCTATTTGTTGTCATCCCCTTCGTCGCAACGTCTGCAGTGTGATTATAAGCGCCTGGTCTGTAACACGTGCGTTCCCTGTAGTGAATCGTGACTCCCTCACTGTTGGGGACGTCTTCACCACTTCCTCGGAAAGGGCGAAAGAGGGGTAGTCACCTCGACCCACCGCCCGGTTACAGAATACAGCGCAATTACGTCTTCACTGCAATGTAATTAGGCGGTTTCTACTATCAGTCTTACATCAAACAAGATTTTATGAAAACAAACAATGATGATTACTGTTCGCTCCAGTTATCTTGTTATCTTGAAAGTCGCCTTAGCTGTTGCCCGGTCTGTCCTCTCGCGTCAAGACCGGGTAAGCAGACATTCTACTGAATGTTAAGGACACATCCGTAGTGTATACTGTTATTATTAATGATCTCCCTCCTTAATTACCGTTAATTACACTGTTAAACCTGCTTGTGCTGCTAATGCTGACGTGTGTCACCCCACGCAGTACGACGTTTAAGTTGTCAACAGATTGGAGTGGACGTTTGCGGCCTGGGAAGTCATGTGCTGCACTACTAGCAGACCGGAAAACGTCGGTGCTCGTTCTAACTTGATGTAAACTTTACTGGTAAAACATTATAATACTGGAATTTACAAAACAGTAATGAGAAAACAAATAAACGAACAGTGATACTATGAATAGCGGAGAATAAAAAATAAAAACGCGTTAAAAATATCTTTGCACTAAAGACCACGTTCTCCACTCATTAACAGGAGGTAACACATGCACATCACTTATCTACGAGACCGCCTACGTCATACGTATTTACTTAACCCTTGAGAAGCATGAATGAATGGCTTTGAAGTAATGAGGCAAAACTGTATTTGACATTGTCTCTGTCTGAGATTCCTCACCTATAAGACGTTTCGGGAGTTAGCAGTGTTGTGCTTTATTTGAATAATAATGCCCGGGGAAACGTTTTATAACAAGAAGTTTCTTGTCAGGCCTACGAAGATTTCTATTTACACATTCAGAATTGCGTAGAAAGTAATTTCGTGTCCACTGCAGACGCAAAATTTTGTTCCAAGGCAACTCACAGGAATTTTGAAATGCCTGCGAAGAAAACTTGCTGATAGGTACTGAGTGCACAACTGCATTAGAAGTGCACTGCTCAATCAACGAAAGGAGGTCATACCACAGACCGGTGGTACCAGTGGTTCAGAAGAATTTCCTCGTGAAGAACTACTGACTCACCGACTACAAAGTCCAGATGCTGCGCGGCAAAATTCCCTTGTACCAGTCACTGATATAGATTAAGTGATCATAAGTTTCAGTCTCTGTGCTACAATACGCGTATAAACAGCGTCAATGGAATTCCTCCGGACTCTTCTGCTCGCTGCACAGTCCAATAAAACCCTTTTATTATCATGGAAATGTCAGTCTCTGCACGCCCGGTAACTCGTAACGAAAATAAAGCAAGACGGTAAGTGCAACAATATCATGAGATTCGCGGCACGATGTGCATTAGAGGGTAAATATATCACTCGTTACTGACGCTCTATAAATTCTATCAGTCGGCTATTATGTCCTATAAAATTTACAAGAGATTCATCGATTGCCCAGGTATGATGTCACTATCAACATCGGCACGTAATAAAACTCATAATTTTAAAAGTAAATTACAATTAATATGAAAGAGAAACATGAAGATATACATGGAAACTAAAAGGGTGTGCCAGTGTGGATAGGATTCATCTGTCTGAGGATGGTTTCAGAGTCGGAGACGGGCTCTTTGAACTCGGTTAATGAACCTTTACGGGGCTGAGCGTTTCCCAGCTTTTACAAAATAACTGACTAAGCAGGGTTATTTACCTCGGCTATTTAATTTACATGTTAACAGGCAAGTCAGTTCTAAACACTATTTCCTTTCATCAATACAACCAGGGTAACTTAACCACGAACTTGACTGGTTATGGGTTAGATCCACATCTTGGTACGAGCAGGGGCTCGTCTTCACGACTACACCCACTCTGGGGCACACCCATCTCTCTTCCAGTGGGTATCGGGTTCTAGACTCCAGGTAAAGCAACTCGGTTGTCAAGCTAACCAATCGCCATCAACTAGTACCAAGGTTTAAAAAAAAAACTCGCCTCTGCTTGTCCATGGTGCTGTGTTTAACCGTTCGAAAACAGGGGTCGCTGGTTCGTATCTCAGCATGGGAATGTGTCTCCTCAAGGAATCTTTCCAAGTGTAAAAAGGCATTTCTATTGAATGAGAAGACGCCTAAAGTTATTATAATCTGTTACAAATTTTGAGGTGGAAGGAAAATTCAGTTCAGGTAGACATTAGGATCCTGTCACGTTCAATCGAATTGTTATTAGTAAATTAAGCATAACGGTTTGATAGAATCTTCCTGTAATGAGAATGTGTAAAAGAGGTTTGCTGTTTCACTTCATCCATGATTTATTTTATTGTCTCTTCCCTAACCGTAACCCATCGATCATCAGCACTACGACTGGAGCTCCTTTCTCCCCGCAACAGCTTGTGAACGCTCTTCTATCTTCGTTCTTCCCTGTTCTGTTGTATTCTTCTTCGTTTCCTTCGCCTCTGTCTCATCAATCTTCTCCCTGGTGAAGCAGCGTGCTCACAACGCTATCAGGGGATGACATTCGCGTTAATTGGGGCGAGGTGCATCTCTGTGAGTTTTCCAATCCAGCCACC